TGTGTATGTGTTTCTTCAAAATATCAATTCGGGAAGCCTGAGAATGTTGGATGTTAGAATTATGGCCGGAAATGAACTAGGCAAGGGAAACTATGCATGCACGAGCATGCACCATTGATTTCTCACCTGCAATCTTCATACACAGCGCTGTTTCCATGTGTCATTGATTTCTTGAGCTTCTGCCTCAGGTTGAAGGTTTGTCTATTATGTTCTCACTTGAGTAATTTGGCACAAGGGTTGACTCCTAAAAGTGACGTAGTCTGTGTTCAACACAGTCAACTTTAACAAAAGAAACATGAGAAGCCAGTGCCTATAATGTGGGTCAAGAGCGAGGGAAGCCACCGACGTGGGAGTAAAACGGGAGACATATGAGATAACCCAACTCTCTTCAAATACAAGCACTGCGTCCTTGGCGTTTCCCAGTGCGACAGTCACAGTCCACTGACATGCTAGCCCGCAAAAATAGAAGAGTTCGGGGAGATACAAACAGTGAGAGACAAATGACAAGCTGGGAACAAGCTGAACAACCAAAAAGACTGCTGCGTCTACAAATGCAACCCTTGAAAAGGAACAAGAAATCAATTCTTGTAAATGTTCAAAGGGGCCCTCTAAACAGTGTTATTGCGGTGTTCTCACCATCAGAAACGTCTCTGCCCTTGGCCACTTGGCGTCTGGACCCACCGGCTGCTGCAATGTGCAGCGGTTGCAAGCCATCACAATCTGCCTCTGAGCATGGCTTCGAATGTTGACAAATGAAACATTTGTTCAAACCACTTTGTTCAAACCACAATCGAGCATGTCCATTTTCTGATTCTGAAAGTTTTTGCAAAGTGGTGTCTTAGTACGCCTTCAACTCTATAGGTGTTTCTTCGGGAGATAGGGGAGAGTGCTTCGATGCGTCTAAGCCAGTGGCAGAAGATGGATCTGCACGCTTCTGGAGTAGTAAGCCTCCAGTCCCACACCCTTAGAAGTTAGAAGTAAATGCTTAGTTCCAAGTGTCCAAGTACATGCTGCTACACTGCTACCTACAAAGAATGATTGACCTACAAAAGACAGCCGAGTTGGTGCTGCTTTGAAGCGTGCCTGCAACCTCTGCAAGGCCAGCGAAGCAAGCCCGATGTAAAGGTCGCCAGCCCATGTGATCAAATGCCTGGCATTGAGTTTCAAAATTTACTCAGATGCCGTTGGAAGCTCGGATGAATTCTCAATTGTCTTGACTTTGGCAACAGGTTGCCTTGCCTACGACTATCTCGATCAGGATCATGCCGGCACTTATTTTATGCTTCCCCCTACCACAGCCTACCCCCCCGGCAGAAAAAATTAAAACGGACAAATAGAATTATTGTGGTTGGGCAGCAGCATGAACGCCCACCTCAATGTCGCTCCCCGATTCAATCCTGACAGGTCTCAGCTGTGGATGACGAAAATGCAAAAATATCTTTCGCAATTAGGTTAAGGCCATCGCTCTTGGGGTGGAGGCCATCGCTCTTGGGGTGGAGGCCATCGCTCTTGGGGTGGAGGCCATCGCTCTTAGGGTGCAGGCCATCGCTCTTAGGGTGCAGGCCATCGCTCTTGGGGTGGAGGCCATCGCTCTTGGGGTGGAGGCCATCGCTCTTAGGTTGGAGGCCATCGCTCTTAGGTTGGAGGCCATCGCTCTTAGGTTGGAGGCCATTGCACTTAAATTCCTTTTGCTATAATGCTATTATGAGGTGTCAAGCGGAGAAAAACGCTGTCGCCTCCAGTTTTGCACTGATCTCTCGTTTAGTTTCTGTTTCAAAACATCTGAATAGACCTGACACCACAAGGCTGCCAAGCGATTCTTTTTTGAACCCTTCCGTTCTACTGCGGTGCGGTGGCTCATCATGTTGTTTTCTTACTTGATTTCTTCCACTTTGACTTTCACGTGTTTACCACTAACATTCACAGGTCTTGCGTGTGTCTTTCCCTGAAAAGATTTTGAACTCGGGAGAAGTGATGGTGCATTCCCGTTCGGAGGTTCACGCCGCTCAAATTAAGGCAATTTGTACGTCTAAAACTGCAGAGTCCTCTTCTAAGTCCGCTTTGAATTTGAATGAGCAAAGCTGTTGGGCGCTAACAAAAGCCAGGTCAATCAATCTTCGGGATTGACAAATCATGTACATAAGAAAAGCAAACGTGGAACACCATGTGAGTGCCGGACAAAATCTTGTATCTAGCCTGTGACAGAGCTTAGAATGGGTCAGCCCCCATCTGTTATGCAGGTTTTTTGTGCAGGTTTCCTACAATATGTCTACCATGTGAATAAGTTAGTCTTCGCAGGTTTTGTCGGATGCTCATATCAATATCAGAGACTTGTTGACAACAAGACTGCTGCCTTTTCATAGATTTTAGATCGAACAATTTCCTTGGCCAAGAAGCTACTAGGGGCTCCTGGCCTTACTACTAGGAGCAAGGACGCTACTAGGGGCTCCTGGCATCGCTACTAGTAGCAAGAAGCTACTAGTAACAAGAAGGCTACTAGGTTGGAGAACTCATGGTTTCACTGTCTTGCTGGAGGTGTTGGCCGTGCATGGCCTTGCCTCCTGCATTTTAGGGGACCAGTGCCGGACCCGAAGAGGACATCTTCTAAGGTCCAAACAACTGCTGAGCAGCATCTGCATCTTCTTCAAAGAGAGCCATCAGAAGTGGATCGCCAGCCTCTGCATAGACCTTGCAACGCTTTCTTTCTGAAAAGAATATCTCCAAACTTCTGAGGCAAGACACGCGAGTGCTGTGTTGTCACATTTCATACATGTTGCACCAAGACACCCGCATGTACTTGTCACTGTCAGTCCACTTGAGGGAGTAGGCGGGAACACTAGCGTCCACTTCCCCGACTGCAAGTGTGCCTCCAAGTGTCATGTCCAATTGTAGAGAGATCATGTTGAAGGGAATGTCTAATAGGAGCCCCTAGTAGCGTCCTTGCTCCTAGTAGCGATGCCAGGAGCCACTAGTAGCTTCTTGTTCCTAGACTATAGAGTTTCGTGCAATGAGATTGCGGGGGGGGTCCGTCGGGCTTGTCGCCAGAGTACCTCCTTGCATATCACAGTACCAACAAATGGACTGAACGCGTCGCTCTCGGCTTAAAGGCGTGGAAGGGAGCTAATAGCATTGCGGGTCACAAGAAACAATGCCCTACATTATGTGGTTGATCTAAATCTTTCATCTGGAAAGTGCCTCTTCGCGATAAAAAAAGATTACTTTCGCGAACCCCATGTTTAACTTTCGCGAACTTTCGCGAAGTATGATCTTACATATTCAGAAGAAGTTCGGGTACATGGGTATATATAGTAGTTAAAGGAAAACTATATAGAGGTATGCATGATGTAGCCCCTAACTCAACTTTGCAACCCCTAACTGACTTCTCACCTGGAGCCCCATTGTGTATCCATTCCCGAAAAGTTCCGACTATATCCATCCTACAATCTTTCTGTCTGACTTGAACCTAAAGAGACATGAGGCAACCCCTTCTCAGGACAACCAGTCTTTCGCGAAGACTTTCGCGAAACTTTCGCGAAAAACAGGACATGTTTTGGACAAATTCCCAAGTTTCTTCAGCAATGGATCGAACCTTTCCATTGGCGTACCGAGTTTCCTCTGAGACGAAACCCGTCATTTGAGCAGCAAAAGCTCGTGAAGACAAGGCTTGGTGACAATTGCACAAAGACTCTGATTTCCTTCTGAGCTGGTGCTCTGAAAAGATCACAGTAAGCAAACAAATAAGGGTCCCTTTACCTACAAATAACATACATGGTTACATGAACTTTCGCGAAAAAAAAAAGATTACTTTCGCGAACCCTGTGTTTAACTTTCGCGATCTTTCGCCCGGTTGGTACTTAGTAACCGAAATGGCTGTTCCATATGAAACTCCTTTCATGGACCTTTAGATCGATGCCCTGACATAGCAATGGCCTCCAACCTAATAGCGATGGCCTCCACCCTAATAGCGATGCCCCACATGATGCCCTTCAGCATTGCAGGCAATGCACCTTGGGCACCTTTTGCCCCTTGCTCCTCTTGATCCCCGCCATTTGCCATAAGGACTCATGTGTCAATTTGTGGGACGGCTCATTGGTTCTCATTATCTCACAAATCACCATCAACATAGCAAAACTACAGGGAATTGACTCCTTCACACTTTGCCAAGTGTGATTTCGGCGCGCGGGTGTCTATCACAGTAGTAAGTAGTGAAAGTACAAAATTTACTAGTAAATCAAGCTCACTTACTACTACATGTTTGTGGTTTATGGTTTAGCTTTGCTACAGTTGTCTATCCAGACCCAGCCTCTTTCTTGTCTTCCATGACAGTACAATTTCAGCACCCCCCACCAAAATCTGAACTGAAACTCGTGCAAAATTCAGTTGGCTGCCCGGAAAGTTCAATGTTCAATCTAAGCGCCACTCAGTTGCATCGCCTGCACCAATTGCATGGCGTTTACGCCCCATTTGCCTCACGTCAAAAAGGGGCAGTTTCTAGAGATTCACATATTTAACAAATGGATGAAAGCATGAAGTGTTTTGAAGCAAAGCAAACAAAGCCATTGCTATTAGGGTGGAGGCCATTGCACTTAGGTTCCTTTTGCTATGAGGTTGGAGGGAAAACATCCTCAGACCCTCGCCTCAACAAAGGCGCTGGACCAACGCCAATCAAGTGGACTCTATATTGGCAGTATTGTCTGTGGAGTCAAGCACTATGTTCCATAACCCGAAAGGTGACAGAAATGGTGTGAACATAGCAGAAAGTTGAATATGAAGGCTCCGTCAACTACATTGCAACAAAAATCAGTTGCTACTTGCACACTTGAGCCTATTGTTGCTGAAAAGCTGCAAGGTCTGCAAACTTCGGAAAGACTTGACAAAGGAAGAATGCCTTCCCTCCAACCTAGTAGCAAAAGAAACCTAAGTCACCCTAAAAGCGATGGCCTCCAACCTACTAGCGATGACAAAGAAAAAATGTGAAACAACGGACTTGACAGCATTGCCTCAGCCTCCACATCCTGGCCCAAGAAAGCCTCCAAATTCGCACGTGCATCCAGCATGGTGTTTTGACCTCTAATTTCGACCGCTACACTGACGAAGGGTACTGAGTCACTGGGGCATGTCCCCTTCGAGGTTGTGTGCTTTTCTGAAACAGGCTTCCGCCACGGAACTAAGACGTGCCTTTGCTCTTGGCTAAACAAAGTGACAGAGTGTGGGTTGGGGTCTGCCTTGTCAGGATGTCTTCGCGAATTACTGTGGAGCAAACAATGGAACATCCAAATGCTATTATCAAGTTCGGCTGTAGCTGGCTGTAGATACCATGTTACATACCCATTTTGCTGACTTCTTCGAGATCTGTTCTTGGACTTTCTTTTTCGACTGCAGAAAGGAGCACAAATCTACAAAGTTCACATTGTGGCAGCTGTTCCAACAATGAGTTCAACCGTTCAACCCATCTGTTCCACTACAGGAGCGAAGATCCATAGAATAACCACGTGAGGTAGCCCAAGAGTAAGCGAATCGAAAATTAGAAACACGCCAAGAGCCACAATCTCTTCGTCAATTTGATTCTTGTGCGACCTCTGATTTCTTCTGATTTCCATAAGTTCAGCCATAGCAAGTTTTCTGCTTTTATTCTTTCCCATCCATTAACCATTCATGTTCTCACGTTGCTGTGCGTCTTTCCTGAAATTTCTGCATTCCTAGGACGGTTGTTGGCCCTGCCAATACGTGTTGATTGTTCTCATCACACACTGCTGCAGCGCCCTTGGAAACTGTTTTGCATTCCGGGGTTGTTTCTTGCTCCCACAACTGCATTGGATTGGCAGCACCCCCTCCTTCCTCCCATTCTTGGATAAGCAAGATCGAAGCAAGATCGAAGCAAGCCAACTCCAAGGATCAATTGCATGGGGGGAGCGCTTCCTCCTCCTCCTCCTCCTCCTCCAAACCCTTCCAACTTGTTGAAGCCAGCCAGGTCAAACCGATCAACCAGAAGAATACAACGAATATAAGCAAAAACCATCAAGAATCTATCTTCAGTGGTTTGCAAGTCGCTGGGCACAGGGAGGACATTGCTAAATGTCTGTTTCGTTTCGATCAGCCCCGCAGATTTTGTTCTGCTCAGGTCCAACGCCAACCTAAATACAGGTGGTTTTTTCGTACAAAGAAAAACACATCTTTGCCTCAGCAAATCTCCAGTCTCGCACAAACAATGTTGAAGTTGACCAAGTTGTAAGAACTGAATTGCTTAAAAGATTGCCTTAAACTTATTTGTTGATACACTTTACTGAATTGCTTCTTGGTTTGGATCCCCGTGTTTTTCTTCTCCTCTACATCTGGACCAGGTAGATGTTGCGGCGCCGCAGCTGGCCACCTGGTTCCTTCAGGCGTTGCACTGCTTTCACTTGTCGAGGTCAAGGTGCAAAGAGGCTGGCATAGTTTTCCAAACGGTTAGAACATCTCTAAAGAGGCGATCCTTCAACAAAAAGCATTCAACCACAATCACTGACTGCATTTCCACACCTTCTACTAACAAGATGGAATCCACAAGTGAGCATGTGTGGGCGCTCCTGATCTCTCGCTGGAATCGCTGCTATAGCCTCAGCGAGTCTTCCGAGGAAGCTCAGCAGACTATGTGCTCTCCCTAGCCTTCACGGCAATGCGATGGCCTCCAACCTACTAGCGATGGCCTCCAACCTAAAAGCGGTGGTTTTCTTGTCACGGCGCGGATCTGAGGCTATTGCTCGAAGACCCTTTGCCTTGCTGCTCAGTTTGCCCATTCAAGCATATGCAGCACATCCTGCTTCTCGGAGAACTCTCATCCAATCTCACTTGAGCAAGCCGCGCGATGCTTTCTTGGGAACAGATGCCCACCTTGGTGTTGCGCAAATGGTTGCTCGAAATCGTGCTTGCATTGAAGCACTTTATAATATTTGAGAGCGCCACGGCACGCCCATCAAATGAGGCCTTACAGGGCACGACTAGATATATGTTGTTTAGATTTCTTCACCCTGGGCCTGGGTGAATGAAGTAATGTGGTTTTATGAGGCAAGGCGGCTGACTTATGACTTGTCGTTCAGACGCGACCAACTGTTTTGATAAAGGCTACATGGCTATCTCTTTGCGGAAAGTGCTGTACTGACCACACTCAGAAATGAGAAAAAACATAAAATGAGAGGTCTGAAGTTTAAAGGTTTAAGAAAAGGAAAACATGTCTGGCAGTATCAATTTGGTATCAGTTTGGTGCTTCACGCGTTTGTGCAATAAGGCTTTGACATCCACATCTGCTGCTGCATCATGGCCTGACCAAGAACACCGTGGTCACTGCACACTGTGACTTCTAAACAGCCAGCGCTTGGGCTCGTGCCATGTATCCAGGATGCATGAAACGCATCATAGCGGCCTGGTCTGGGTCTGTGAAAGGACATCGGATTCTTCCAATCTGGCAATGTGAAATGCATGACGTCTGCATGAGAACACGTGGGAGAACAAGAGCCCCCCTTTTCTGGCCACGCGACGCTTCTACAGGTCACAGTCCTTGTTGCAGGTCACCGCTGCTCCCGGAAGCAAATTCCCGATCATACGCTGCCTGACACGAAGTGGTGGACACAGCCACAATAAAGCTACAAGTTCACCCTCCACAGACTATGGGAGGCCAACGCTAGTAATTCGGTTGGAGGCCAGCGCTAGTAGGTTGGAGGCCATCGCTAGTAATAGGTTGGAGGCCATACTAAATGGCCAAAGTGCTCTTGGAGGATATCTCGTAATGGACCAGTTGGCCGGGCGATGAAGCCGTGGAAGTCATCCATCGTCAAGTTGGCAATGAGATGTCCGCGTCGGTCACGCAGAGCGGTTCTCCAATCATCTCCGTAGACTTGGCTGAGATATCTTTCAGCAAACTCTTTCTTTGGAATCCAAACTTCAAGCTCTCCAAACCTCATTCGCTCGCGCTTTAAGATGCCCTTCAAAGGGAAGCTCTGCGCATATTGCAAATCCGTGCGATGAATATAGTGCCACGATGCTTCATTCCCGTTGAAAGCTACGTCTGCAAGGTGCGCGTCAATATAAGGCAAATGGCAGGCAAGGCCGCCTTGCACACTTCGAACATCAGCTGCAGCTGGCACCTGCACCATACAAAAACGATACTGAAAATAAATCGGCATGTGATATGCCAAAATACCGGCAGCAGCCAGCGCTGCTTTGAAAGAAGGAGATACGAGGTGGTGCGAATCGGGCCGCCAAAGTGCAATATCCACATCACAGTCCTGCGGTAGCAGCCCACCATTTCGCAACGTGCCCAGCAAAGCTCCAGAAGACATCCACCACTTTACGCCAAAAAAATCCAAAAGGCTTCCAACTGCATGAAGCAAACCATATATCAAATGACTTCCTGCCACTGTCAACCGTTGAGACATTTGAGACGGCACACCAGAATCAAGGCGATCGCAAAGTTTAGCTAAAGTAGGTGGTGGCGGCTGATTTGGAATTCTCGAAACTGAGTCGTCTTTTTGCACCTCCAAGCTGCCAATCTGTGAGAACTGCGTATCGACCCCAGACAATTTGGAGAGCAAGAAAAATATAGGGAATGCCCTAACCAAAGAACAAGTCACCTGCACTTGCTCCGGATGCGTCATATCTTCAGCCTCAAAGATGGCTTCTGACAAGAGGATTTCAGTTTGTGCAGCTTTGATGAGCCGCACCTGGTCCTGGGACAGCTTTGGCTTTATCCTCTTGGAATGTTTATGAACAGTATGCTGAACATATGCTTCAGCCAGCTGAGCAAATGCTACGGCAAAGTGACAAAGAACGCCACACGCCCACGGTTGCCGCATCGCCAATGTGGCAAACTCTCGATGTGGCCAGGCATTGGCCACACCAGTCGGTCGAGCACCCGTCGGTCGAGAACTGCACACAGCCGGGCCACGGCGACCCAAGAAGCGCAAGGCACAGTCTCGGTAGTCAAAGCCTCAGCTTCTCCCAAGAGGTCTGACTTTTTTTCAACCCGCCCATTCCTTGAATAAGTAGGCGTTTATACTTGAATATATAAGTTGTCGGTTGTTCTCTTTGTCCTTTTTTAATGCCCGCTCTGCCCCCCCTACTACTTACTTAAGTGCGTGCCTACATAATTAAGGTACTGAACGCTCCTAGCTACTGGACGCAGGGGAGCCTCCTCGAAGAAGCGCTCGAACCAATGATTTGGTTTCTAGATTTTGAGGAAGCTTCTCTGCTGTTGAAGCGGTTTAGTTTTGAGGTTCGAAGCGGTTTAGTCTGCAAAAACACAAGCAAACTCACTGAACTTCGACTATGTCAATACGTGGACGGTCGTGTTGACGACTCAAAGTTACCCCTGCATCTCTAGTCTCTAGTAGCGATGCCAGGAGCCCCTAGTAGCGAACATTGCTCCTAGTAGTAAGGCCAGGAGCCCCTAGTAGCGTCCTTGCTCCTAGTAGCGATGCCCTTTGCTTCTAGTTTTGTTTAATCTTGAGGATCTGAGCTTGTGGGTGGCTTACCTCTTCAACTTCCATTCAAAGTTTTTTCCAGCACAGGGCGGAAAATGTTCTTTCTCGCCCTTGCGACTCTCCTGCCCTTTCCTGGGTTCACACGCAACCACATCATGTCATGCAGTAGTCAAGCAGCATTTTTGTAGAGGAGGCCACAAAAGAGTTGCTATAGTAGTTACAATTGTTCGAAAACAAAAAAATACACCACCATAGGCCCCAAACAGTTTGTGGTTTTCAAAACCGGAACACTCTGCAACTAGAGCTTGAGACGTCCAGAACTGGGAGACAAGGATTGCAAGGCAGAGGCGGCCACAGCAGTCCAGAGCTGGGAGACAAATGTGAACACAGGGAGACAAATGTAAAGGATTGCAAGCGACACGCAGCCCAGAGCTGGGAGACAAAT